ATGCCCTTGATCGAGTAAAAACTGCTATATGGTGCCATAGTTTTGGTCTCACTAATCTATTGAGACTTTGGGTATTTCAACTGATTTCACTCAATAATTTCTCCTGCTTGTCCTGCTATATGTTTGGAATTGATTAACCCTATCCGTACACCTGGGGTCATTTTGTGCCCCCGGGGTTGTATTCTTCACATTTTAGAATATTGTACTTCTGGTGCAAATATCTCTTTGAAACTTCCAGTATTTCTCAAAAAATCATTTTGACAGACTGCTATGCAAGGCGTAGGCCTACGGATAGGATTAATGAGTAAATTTCCTATTTGGAGAGTGGTGGCACAGAGTTCCCCTCGTCGTATCAATACGATAGTAAAACTGGACACGATTGCCCATGCCTACTTCAGTCACAGTCGTCTCCGCTTGTGTTGAACTCTCTTGAGTTGATCTTCAGGTCAAGTTGATCTTTTCATCTGGTCCCAGCACCTTTTCTTTACAGGTCCAAAAGATTAAGTTGAACTTCGGATGAGTTGATCCCCGAACCAGTGCAGTGCTATTGACTGAAATTGCCTTTACGCCATTCCCAAAGGGGGGACATTAACCATGTTCTTATGCACAGTAGAATTGTAAATGGGCTGATTTATCAATGTCATGCTCATACTGTGCCGGAACAACATGGGGGGAACTGCTGCTTTTTCTATCCTCATCCTTACTATCGTCATTTTTCCTCTACTTCTTTTGTATGTTCGTTACTCTCTTGTGAACTGCTATGTCGTGAATGTAGTCCAGTTTTGTCACTCGCTACTCAGCTTTCTTGTCAATCATAATCTTCAAAACCTCGCAAAATTGGTTGAACCAAGCCAAAACGGCACTGTATGTAAAATGAATCAGTATCTACCCACCCACACACCGCTATTAATTGTAAACGCGGCGGGGGGGGGGGGGGGGGGAGACATTTTTAAAAAAATATTTTCGGAGGGGGGGGGGGGGGGGGGGGGGGGGGGAGAACACCCTTTTCAATAATTTTTTTAAGAGGGGGGGGGGGGGGGGGGGGCTGTTGTTTCTTAGTGTGTCATGTTTGTCTTTTTTGTGTTGTGGTTGGTGGGTGCTCTAGTGCAGTTTGCCCCTTCTTTCCTATCAAACATCTATCGTAGGCCTACTTATCTCTCCTCCTTCTTTTCGTGTATGCTACTCTTTTGTAATTATCTGCTTCTTTCCTGTCAAACATAATGTTGCCTTCATCTCCCCTCCTTCTTTTGTTTGTTTGTTACTCTCTTGTAACACTAACACCTTTAATCTTCGGCACTTATATGACCTTTTTGTGTTGCAAGTGCCATAAAACACTTACTAAAATAAAATAATCTATTTTTCGGCACTCTTATGACATTGTTGTGTCGCAAATGCCGTAGACTAAAACTCTTACTTATACTAAGGGTGTCAGGGTTGATATTTTGGCGTGATGACAGCCTAAGATTAGTAATCCGGAGTGCCCATTGGCACGATGGGGTCGGCTCGGTTTGTGAGCAAGATTGAGGGCTCAAAGCGGCTATCGTGGGACAAGCCGATCGCCCGACTCGTCGCCTCAAAAATGAACGTTTTTGTGTTTTGGTGACGAATGAGGCGATCGACCAGACCCGATCCTCTCCGCAATGGGCACCCAGTATAAGGTATCTGAAGGGGCAGACATCTGCGTTTCACTTTGGTAGCACGACTGTAGAACCTGATTGGCTGGACTGTTTAATTACAGTCAAACCTCGTTATACAGCCTAGCTTAGGACGAGCATAACAGTGGCGGTACAGCGGGGCTGGTGGTATACATTGTAACGGGATACCACCGACTTCCGTCTTGACTAGTGGCAGGTAGAGATTAGAGACAAACTGAGACTAGTCTTGCCTCATCTTGATCTGTCTTGCGCGATTGCCGTGCGCTGCTAAAACATAAGTTGCAACTAACGGAAAGCTCCAGTGGAGCTTAAAGTAAAGTCAACATTGAAGGAAGCTAGGCTGGGAGTTCTCGTGGTCGAGAGGTTATGTTGTTTACCTCTCATTCAATAGCTCACGGGTTCGAATCCGGAGAGCGACAGAATATTTTCTGTGAAATGGACCCTTATGAAGAGGGGCGAGGAAGCATGGAGCACCTCGTCTTCCTACGACCCCAGTTCTACATTCAAGTAATTCAAGTAATTTTCTTCTTTAAAAATGAGTTCCTTTCACTTTCTTTACTGCTCTCTAACAATTTTTTATCGTTTGCTTTCGTCTCCACTTTCTGTCTCCACCCCCTCACCTCCTTCGCCCCCTTCTCTGGGCTATCCTGACTATCTGCAGCCTTTCTACTGTTACTACATGTCTTTGGGTCCTAATTTTTACTGCTGTCTTTCTGCCACACCCCTGATCTTATGGTAGGTAAGATCGAACATCTAGCCTTCTCGGATAAGGGCGAAAAATCTCGGATGTCTTGTGAGCAAGTTGTGCACGTTAAAGATCCCTTGGTGGTCCAAAATCGATAAAAGTAGGCTTCAGCCAGGCTTTTTCTTCTTCTATCCCGGGGTTGGGGCAACCGTGGGAGGCACCACTGCATCTGCAAACCAGCTCTCGCCATTTATCTTTGTCCTCTGCTTTCCTCAGATTGTCACCAATCGTCTTTCCTGTCCACTCTGTAATGTTGTCCTCCCATCTCCTTCTCTGTCTTCCTCTTTCTCTCTCCTTGTACGGTTCCTTGCAGGATTGTTTTGGCAAGTCCTGTGGATCTTGTCGCATGCCCATACCATTTTAATTTTCCTCTCTCTTCACTGTGGGGAATAGATCTTCATGCTGCCCCACTGCGTTGGTGATTCTGTTCCGCACCTCAGCATTTGAAATGTGGTCTTTGTACGAGATGTCAAGGGGTCTGCGGTAACATCTCATCTCTGTCGTCTGATTCTTTTTTTTTCTCCAATTCTGCTGTCAGTGTCCACGACTCGCAGGCGTATAAAAATATTAGTGAGCGCATTAGCCTGATCTTCGAGTTGGGCGTGATGTTTCTGTCCCTCCAAATAGGCTCCAGTTTTGACAGCGCAACTGTTGTTTGCACGGTTCTGTAGAAAATATCTGGTCTCGAGCCTTCATCTGAGACATTGATCCAAGGTATTTGAAGCTGTTGACGGTCTAAAGTTTCTCGTCCCTGACTTTGATGTCCGCGTTGATGCCATTGTTATTATTGGTCATTAGCTTGGTTTCTCGACTGATCTCCATGCCGTAGACCGATGTGGTTGTATCCAGCCGCTCCACTAGTGTGGCGAGCTCCTGTTCTTCTCCTGCTAATCCATCGATGTCATCGGCAAAACGCAAGTTGCTGATTGTCCTGCCTCCAATACTGATTGCTCCATGGTGGCCTTCCAGTGTGTCAGTCATGATTCGTTCTAGGAAGATGTTAAAGAGAGTGGGAGAGAGCAAACAGCCCAGCATCACCCCGACCAATCTCCCAAACTGCCGTTAAGGTAGACTTCGCTGAAGGCCTTGTCATATATAGTTTTTCTTTTAGCGAATTATTATTATTATTACATGTATTATTATCATTATTATTATTATTATTATTATTATTATTATTATTATTATTATTATTATTATTATTATTATTATTATCATTAGGCTGTCATTATTTTACCAACAAATGAGCAGAAGTAGGTGATTTGAGGGCACCTCTGCAGCATGGTAGGTCCTACTTACTTTATTTCCGTTTGTTGTTAATGTCTGTACTTTTTTTCTCATTCTCCTACACAAACTTTCACAAAGTGATTTTATTCTAAGTGCTTAAATTCTCTTTGTTGGTCCAACTTGAACTATGCTCACAAAGGCCCAGGGACCCCCCCCCCCCCCCCCCCCCACGGGGCAGTGCCACTGACTGTAGTGTCTTTAGGCCATTCCCAAAGGGGGGACATTTCTCGTTCAAGCATAGTAGAATTGTAAATGGGCTGACTCATGTCACGCTCATAACTGTGCCTGATCTACAACAGGGAACTGCTGCTTTTTCTTTCCGGATCCTTACTATTGTCATTTCCCTCTACTTCTTTTGTATGTTTGTCACTCTCTTGTGACCTGCTATTTTGGGGTGCCCTGACAGTCGAAGCATACCTTGTGCTGTTGAAGCTAGAGAGGTGAGCAGTCTAAGTCCAACTTCTCTGTTGACACCCACCCTTTGGCGCTCATATGACCTTATGCCGTTGCGAGCGCCGTAAAACCCTCTACTATATATTTTTGTAAAAAGAAAGACCCAGGGGCTTTAAAGGAACATAACTCTTGTATTTAAGAACCTGGGTTTTTTTTAGTCACCTCCCTCGCGACCACTCTTTACCGTGAAAGTTCAAGCATAGCCTATCATCAACAATCATGGCGTCGAACTCAGGTATAAACATTTCTTTGTATGATTTCAAAGTGTTTATTTTTTTCACGAGACTCAAGCCAAGCTTCAGTTTTGTGTTAAAGGAAAATTTGGTTTGTTTTGCCACCGTTTACTGCGTGACAGCATACAAGTTAACGTGGTTTTAGTGTATTTGCTGTCGTTGCTCTCTTCAAAAGATCCAACGATTCGAAGAAAGTGTGTACGTCATGCAATTTTCTGCAAAGTGAAGTCGACATACTTGGAAGATCCCACGCACGTGCTTTAAGATCTCTCCTAATGTACATTTAACGATCTGGAACATTGGATATTTATTTTTTAACCTTCCACATTCAGCTTTTGCACCCTTGACCATGTTTAGTGGTGTATCAGTATTAGATCCAGATTCTAGGCCTATTTGTGGCTGACTGCTTTTCACTTGACTTGCTCTTGAGTCTTGAGTTCATATTATAATCATAATGACTGAGTCATAGTCATCATAGATTCACATATGTGTGTTTGTTATTTTTCTGTACATGGTGCTGCTTTGTAGAATATTTTTGTAATGGCATGTCTAGAAGCAAATTACTTGAAGATATTTTCAGAACTAGATCTAAGTGTGTGAGAGAGGGCATCCATGACTCATCAAAGTCATAGAGGCACTTCTTTTGTTACAGTTAAAATTAGATCTAGATCTACAAGTTTCAGGAGGCAGTAAAATACTGTTTTGAAATATGTCGTGTATGCAGGAATTGTAACCCTAACCATTTCTTATATGTTATTAATTTTAAAAATTTTTTACCCTTATGGCCCTATGGGCAAAGCTGACTTAATTAAAATCTGTTTGCTTTTTGTGTGCGCAGACATCCCACTGGAGGGTTCCTCTGTAGATCTGAAAGAAACAAAGCAACCTGCAGCATCATCAGAAGCAGACATGAAAGAAAAGGACAACGGGCAGACGTCAGATCAAGCTGCAGCATGTACAGATGCTCAAATACAGTCCATATTAACCGCTGCAGGACAGAATATCCTTGACGAGGAGGAAGACGAAGATTCAAGTAAAGTCCCAACAATGATGGTTTTTGAGAATTAGAATTGTATCTGTTCATTGCTGTTTTATATGAAATTGATAAACAGTAGATCTATTCAAGAAAGATTTAACAGTTAATTCAAAGTTAAAGTGTAAGGAAAGTCATCCTGAAGTGGGTGGCCATATATGTAAAATCTTCTACCCACGTTTTGTACTTCTTTCTTTTTTCTTATCAAGGATATATATAATATTGTTTGTATAATTACATGTTCTGTTTCACTGGACATTAAAACAGACTTTGCTATGGCCATTTGACAGGAAATTATCCACATTATATAGTCTTACCTATTTACCTCTCTTGTCCTTTCTGCATGTGTGTATCAGAACACAGTCTTAACTAAAGTGAAAGTGAAAGTATTCCTTCACAGATCAGGAGTTGCAAGAGACAGAATGAAAGAGCTGTTTATGAGTGGCTTGAAGCTGTTGGATCATGAATGTGACCTATAAGGGGGTTGGAAATGTGTGTTTGTGTGCTGTCCTGTACTGCCTAGCTAATTTGCTTATTTCGAGTCAAAGAACATGTTTACAATAGTTTTGTGTGTTCCCTCTGATGAAAGACACTGATGGTTTCAGTGTTGACTCCAATGGCTGGCCTGTTCATTTTCCTTTACCGTGATGGTCCCCTTTGTGAAAGTGAAGCTTTAATGATCTGATAGATTGTGCTGTGAAGCTCAAGACCATGCATCTGCTCTCGCTGTTTTTCTTTGTGTTGTAATTAATAGAAGAGAAATAAACTTAATTTTAATCGAATGGGACTTTCATAAGAAACACTGTAACAATCTCAATATATTATTATATTGAAACTGACGCAGTTCTGGGGAGGCAGAGGCTGACAACTAAGATTGTAGTGTACCTCGACTGTTTTTTTTAACTTAACTAGTTCAGCTCTAGCAAAGTTGATAATATATTAAGAGCTTTTGTTGTGTATAGAGGTAAAAAAAAATTAATTTAAATTCCCCCCCCCCCCCCCCCCAACACACACACACACACACATCTATAAATTATTATATATTTACAAGCTGCATGCTCCATGGACTCTCTATTTGTGGAATATTTTTATTTCAATCGGAGTATGAGAAGAGAAGAGAAACATATGTATTAAAACTTCCTTTTTTCCACCCTGTCTTCTCGCACAGAATCAACAGACCTGGAGATGGTGGATTTTATTGTGATATTTAAGAAAGAGAAGCATGAAGTTTCTTTTCCATTTGACCACACAGTCAGCAAACTGAAATCTCACATAGAAAAAATTACAGGTATGTGATATTTTTGGTGGTATTATAAAATATTGCGCATGACTTTTTAACAATGAGTTTGTAGACATAGCTTGACCCCCCCCGGGGCGGTGTTACTGACTGAAATGTCTTTAGGCCATTCCCAAAGGGGAGACATTATTATCTCGAATTCTTTTGCACAGTAGAATTGTAATTGTAAATGGGCTGATTCGTCAATGTCATGCTCATAACTGTGCCTGAACTGCAACAGGGAACTGCTGCTTTTTCTTTCCTAATCCTTACCATCGTCATTTTACCTCTACTTCTTTTGTATGTTTGTCACACTCTTGTGACCCACTATTTCCGGGGTGCCTTGATAGTTGAAGCCGACTTTGTGCTGTTGAAGCCTGAGAGGGGAGCAGAGTAAGTCTGATTCCCTGTAAGACCTTCTCTGTTGACATCCTCCCCTTGGCGTTCATATAACCTTATGCAGTTGCGAGCACCGTAATACCTCCACTAAAACTAAAAAAGACATAGCTTTAAGGGGACATGGGTAGTGAAGCAAACTGTGGCCTGGGTAATTTATGTAAAAGTTTATGTATTGTGTTCTTGGGAAAGGCACTTTTCATGAATTTTGTCTCATTTGCCCCAGGTGAGAATAGGTACCATGCTATTGAGGCCGGAAGACCTTAGTTTATAGTGTTTTGAGTGCTTAATTTGCCTGCTGGCCTTATGAAGCTAAGAATGTTTCTGAGTGTTGTAAGGCCCTCTGGGGTCATAGTTTAAATTGAAAAGTGCAGAGAGCTTGCTGTTGAGTGGGGATATGCTCTACAGAAATGCTATTATTGATATTATTACTGACTAAGCTTGCAATGTTTAGTTGAAATGTCGCTTATCTCTTTACTGGAGGTGTTTAAGTTAGTCTTTTAAAACCCTTTTTATTAAATTGAAAATTATTTGCATGTCTTTCAGGTCCTAAAGTCATTGTGCACTGAATAAAAAGTGCTGTCCATCATGTGTACAAATATTCAAGACAAAAGCAGACATATTATATGAACTCATTTATATGGCTCTAAAGAACTATTGATTGTTTTCATTTTTTTTCTTCAGGTGTGCCTGCATCATTGCAAAAAATTATGTACAAAGGTAAATTCAATTGTTATTGCTCATTTGTGCTGTATTTTTCTATATAAGATTAAGAGTATTCATGTACTCCTGCATAAGTTTTCAAAGGATCCTGTGGGTTTGTTATGCCTGTAAACTCACAGCCTGTCTCATAGTCTATTCTACATTCCCTCTTCTCACCACTCTCTCTTGCAATTCAATCAACTTGTCTCACACAAGGGAGTTGCATGGGAAATATATCCGTTAAATGATAAGTATCTTTTCGTAAAGAATTTTATTAATTTTTTTCGTTTATCACACTTGCTTTTTAAAAATCTTTCATTGTTGGAATCACAGTTGAAAGGTTTGGCGAGTTTCTGGCATGCGTTGGGCCTATGTAACCACATTTTAAAAATTATCAACGGACATAAAATGTAGAAAGGCACAACACAAGACATTTCATTCTCTAAAGACAAGACTATGCCTTCTGTACCATATCCCAGTGCTGGTTGACCGATTTATTCCACAAGGGAGATTATTACCAAACTCAGTGCTACAGGGAAGTTTTCTGACATTGCCTCCCCTTCAACGATGGTAATCTGACGATTACTTTTCACTACAATTTGACCTATTTCTTTTGCCTGGGAAGAACTTAGTGATAGTCACAATTAGCAAATTATTTCCCTTCTTTATTCTGCTCATGACATCCTGTGTTCAAAGACTCGGGTATTGTCTGTATTTTCACTTCAATTCTTTTAGAATGTTGCTTTTATATATGGCACAATCAGGACTCCTATCTTTTCAATTTTGCTGCGCCTTTCAAAAGTTAAATGTCTTTTGCAACCTGTTTTCTCCTTACACGGGTGGTTGGCAGGTGCTCTGGTGTGGTTTGCCTCTTCTTTCCTTTCAAACATATATCATCATTATCTCCCCTTCTTCTTTTTTGTGTTTGTTACTCTCTTGTATCAGCTCTAATCTTCGGCACTTATATGACCTTGTTGTGATGCAAGGGTTGTAAAACTCTTACGTATACTAAAACTAAAACCATATATAACCTTATTGTGTTGTAAGTTCTGTAAAACACACTAAAACAATCTCTCCTTACAAACAATAGTTACCCCCAGTGGGTCGGGGGGATATAAATAGACCCACTGCTTCGTCTGCAGAAGGTGCAACCCCTTCAAAGGCGAGGTGT